CAATTAGAAGAAAAATATGTTTTTATTACAAAGATGCCCATAGGAAAAAGTCAATATTTGATAACTTTCTGAATTTCTATATTAACGCCACTACTACCCATTATCCAACATTTCTATGTCTCTGGTCATGAATTGACATTCTGCGTCACATAAAATTTATACCAACAAATGAGACATCATTGTACATGAATAATATCGAACCTCATCAAACAAGTTGTATTTAGTTTACTTGATCGTATTTGCAAATGAAAGTAAATATATTCAATACCGATTCATGTTAAGTACTAACAAATGTTGTACAATTACGACATCGGTATTTCACTTTCATACATGGGCTGAAGGATATTAATAATTTGACCACTCTGTTATTAAAAACCCACGGAAAAATAAGTTTCGTTATTTCAATGTGTCATTAGAAAAATTATGGTTATTTTTACATTTTCAAAAACATCACTTCAATTACCTTTGTCTTTTTTACTTTATTCATGCAAAATAAAACGTTATCGATACATTTTCTTAGATTTATTGACTGTTTGCATTAGGAAAGAAAACACACACACACACACACAATCACACACAGATATATATATATATATATATATATATATATATATATATATATATATATATATATAGATATATATATATATATATAGATATATATAGATATATATATATATATATATATATATATATATATATATATTCGACAAACGAGAAAGCTATTATCACATGCTTCAAATTTTATCAATCTAATAATACCAATCAAAAGTTGTTTTGCGTTTTAAAATTCCGTAATATACTGAACAGGGCATAAAAACGATAAGGATTCCATCTTTTCATGGCTGTACCGCAAGTCCAGAAGACGAAAAGAGAGCGTTGTTCTGGTTTCTAAAAGCCTGTACCATTGCTTTCAAAGCTTAAATGAATGCTTTTAGAGAATATTGTTCTTATTTCAGGAGTGAATAATGTTTAGAGATCAACTATTTGAAAGTATTAGCACTCCCGCTTCCAGATGCTTAAGACAGTCCTTTGCATACAGAATAACAGCAGGTGAGCCCTACTGATGCCTATATAAGGAAGACTTTCTCTTGAACTCAAATGATGTTTAATTTGATTTCATTTCCACGAGCTGTCGCCTTTAATTTTATCAAGCTGATATGGCGTGACCTAAATTCATCGTAAAGGTTAGAAATGAAGTTCAATCGGTGCCTGACATTATGTCATAAGCTACCGTAAGGCGCACTTGTAAAATAAGTGGATTGTGATCGTCTGAACCAAAGCGTGCAGCTGACTTTTAATTTTAAAATTTTCATGCTAACCGGCAATTGCAGTTTGTTAAATGCAGTCTACAAATGTCATGTTTTCATTGCTATCAGCTAAATAAAATTAAGCATAAAATTTGCAAATGGATAAACGGATAGTTCTGATGCCTAGTTTTAATGATTGGGTAATTACGCGCTCACCAAATTACTCGCACCTCCGTTATGGCGTAGGAAGAATCACGTATAACTTACACCCTTCGTTAATTAAAAAAGGATGTCATTAGGGTTAAATGTCTCAGTTTCTGGAACAAAGACATTGCACTCATGTATTCACTGGGAGCTTTTTACGATTTTCGGATGTTACAATTTTTGCTGTTAACAAAGAAATATTGGTCTACACGAGACCTTCCACAGGTAAACACCAACATTACTGCCACTTTAAATTCTTTCGATACGGCGATAAAAGCAGTGAGCCATATTCACAGAGAAACCTGATAAGGTATAAAGAGTTTTAATTATTTGCCTCCAGCGTTTACTTTGTATTCATTTTGATTCTTAGATAATAATTACAGTATTCGAACAATGAATACAATTGGCACAGGAGTTCGTCAAGGCAATATAAGAGAGAGGCTTGCATTAGATGATATGGCATGCAAGCACTTTCAAATAATGTAGACTATTAAGAAATGAAACATTTGTATGCCGCATGGTGAGGACCAAACTGTTTCCAGCTAATATAATAGCTTTTGGAAAATAGAAGGAATCATATTGCAATGACGATTCTCCAAATCTGTGTGTCTATATGTTGTGTTGATGACTTCCAAACTCAGCTTGTATGTATATTGCGATGATGATTCCCTAAGTGTGAGTGTTTGTATATTGTAATGATAACTCACTAACTCCTCGTCTATATATTGCAATGATAACTTAGGCATGCTTGTCTGTCTGTTATGATGTTGACTCTCTAAGCCTGTGTATCTGTATATTATAGTGATGACTCCCTTACTGCGTATCTCTATGTTGTACTGATGACTCCCTAACTCTGCATATTGCAATACAGAATCCCTAAGTGTGTGTATGTGTGTGTGTGTATTTGTATATTGCAATCTTGACTCCCTAACTCCGCGTGCATATATATTCCAATGATGACTCCCTACATTTGTATGTATGTATGTTGTATTAATGACTCCTTAAGTATGTGTGACTGTAAGTTAAACTGATGAATCCCTAACTCTACGTGTCTGTGTATTCCAATGATGACTCCCTAAGTATGTGTGTCTGTATATTGTACTAATGACGCCATGAGCCTGTGTCTCTATATTGTACTGATGACCCCGTAACTCTGCTCGTCTATATCTTGTACTGATGACTCCCTAACTCTGCGTGTTCGTATATTACAATGATCACTCCCCACGTCTGTGTTTCTGTATATTGTAACTCTGTAGGTTTGTATATTGCAATGATGACTCCATAATTATGTGTATCTGTATACTGAAAAACTGACACCCTATGTCTGTGTATCTGTATATTGAATTAATGATCCAATATATATGTGTATCTCTATATTAAATTGACGGCTCCAAAAGCCTGTGTATCTGGCGATCCTTGGACATTTATTTGTCGCGAGATGAAACATTTATTATGAAAATGAGTAACAATAGTTGCGAGAATGAAAATAAAATGAATGAGAAAAATCCTATAGCGTTCAAGGTGTGTATCAATTTTAATTTGCAGTTGTCAGTTTGATGTATTATTGTAGGTGACAGCAGTCTGGTTTGTGGTGGCTAATGAGTAACTGTTTCTGACCACTATCAAGTGACAGGAATCTATGGAGGTTAAGGAGTAACTCACTGCCTTTGAGGGAATACTGTAAGGGGTGGTAGTCAATTGAGTTAAAGAATAACTCATTGCTTTTCCACACGGATCTTAAGAAAATTATCAATATTTTTTATCAGGAATTCAAAAGCTGTTTGTTTGCATCATTTCATAACATGGTGAATGAAGAGATAGCTCTCTGATGCGATTGTTTCTTGGTTTAACACATAAATTACAAAGGAACACTTTATTTTTCTTAGATCTTGGTTGAAATTTTTTATCGCTGCCTGCGATTAGTGTAAGATTATGCAAACAAAAGCATACTAATTTTCTCTCTCCACATATTTTTAAAACAATATTTATTAAATATTTCTTATATAGAAACGCTACCAAGAAGTTTCGGCCTGAAAATAAAAATTTAATTTGTATTATTTAGTTGATTTTTAAAAATTACAAATTTGTGCAACTTTTAGAATCATAAAAACTGGGTGCTTCAGAAGTAGATGTAATTAGACTACGATATTTTGATTGCCCTTAAGAAGGTACCAGAAATTGCTAAGACTTACTGTTGAGTGATTAATATTTCCTCTACATATTCTAAACATGTCTAAGGCAATTCATGATATCTAACCTTTAGAGACTTATTGGGGAAAATATAAATATAAAAGTAAACAGGTTAACAAAAAACATGTGTAGACTGTTCAGCAGATAGAATGCACTAAAACAGAAATACGGATCAAACTTCCATGTGAAGGAATTATACAAGTTTATATTTTATTGGATGAGCACGCCCTCTTGGGTGTATAAAAACTTGAAACACGAAAATGGCATTGTATTTACTATCTTTACACGCTTCAAATATGCACTCCTTTCCTATATTATTAGTAGCAAGAGTTTGTGCCTGGTACGAAATGGGTACAATTAATGTCCAGGAACAATTTCCAGTGCGAATCGAGTACATTTAGGTTCCAGTGGCAACTTACAGCAAGAATTGGGCATTTTTAATGTCCAGTAGAAATTCACGGTAAGAATGGGATATACTTAGGTTCAGTAACAATTCAATGCAAGAATGGAATATACATAGGGTTTAGTAACAATTTCCAGTACAAAATGGATACTGAAAGTTTGATTTTGAAAACTTTGATCAAAACTCGAGCCAGAAGAAAACCCAATAAAATCTCATGCGGCCCTGATATATGTGTGTCTGTGCCTGTTCCTAGATGTATCACAGCCCTGATATGTGTGTTTTTTGTTAAATATGGGGGGACGATACCTGGTTACATAGTGTCTAATGTTAAATTTGGTCGTTTTCACCAAGGAGTCAAAATTTATGGGGTCACGTACACCTTTATGGGGTCACGTTTGCACGTTGGGATCAAATGGGACTTAGAATGAGCCAATCTAGGGCCAATGGGACTTGACGTCACGGTGCTGGACACAGGCAGCAGTATTACCAGTGGCTGACCTCAATCGGGCGGAACAGTAATGCAACCGACTGACCTGGTTCCGAGCTACTCTAGGTAGGGACAAATACAATAGAGACATAGACATAAAGACAGAGATATACCAAAAAAAATCTACTAGACATTGTTTTAGGCAAGAAATAATATATATATATATATATATATATATATATATATATATATATATATATATATATATATATATATATATATATATATATATATATATATATATATATACATACATATATATATATATATATATATATATATATATATATATATATATATATATATATATATATATATAATATATATATATATATATATATATATATATTCCAGGCAATGGAGTGACCCTGAAAAGAGTCGTTAAACGTTCTTCTATTTCATCTCTTTCCTTCTTTTTTTCCGCCAGCCCCTCATTTTTGCAGAACATTTTCTTCTTGTTCTTGACGGCTCCGTTGGCCTATTGGTAGAGCGTCCACCTCTGATGCTGGAAGTCGCGGGTTCGAAGCCCGCTAGAGTTATACCAAAGACTTTACAAAGGGCACTAACAGCTGCTTCGTTTGGCGCTCAGCATTAAAAGGTTAGTGTAGGACTGGTTGGTCTGGTGTCAGGATAATATGACTGGGCGGGACATCATGCTGCATGTCTGCGTCATGATGCCCCAAAGCTAAACATCACCATAAACTATCACACCGTAGACATCGTATGGATATGATTTGAAAATTGTTAAAGCTATGTTAAAAATCTAAATCACACACACTCACACACACATATACACTTCTTCTTCTTCTTCTTCTTCTTCTTCTTCTTCTTCTTCTTCTTCATCTTCTTCTTCTTCTTCTTCTTCTTCTTCTTCTTCTTCTTCCCATCTACTTAATGTCACCTAGGGATTAGAGCGTCCGCCTCAGATGCGGGCGGTCGTGGTTTCTAACCCCGGCCAAGACATACCAAAGACATTAAAAGTGGAACTGACAGCTGCCTCGCCTGGTGCTCAGCATTAAGAGGTTAGTGTTAGGACTGGTCGGTCTAGTATCAGGATAATGTGACATTCTGCCACGAGTCTGCAGCATTATACCCCAGTGCTAGACATCATTCTAAATTGGCTTACTGCAGACATCGTAGTGATATGACTGACTGAATTTTTTTAAATTTACGTTAACAATTTACATCGCTCAATGGTCTCTCATCATTCCATCTATTTTTAGGTACAACTTGTGGAAAATCATATGAAATTCCCAATCGTTTTTCTAGCCACATTTTCTTGACGATCCTTTTTAAAACGAATATTATCTATTTACAGTTGCATATGGAAACGCATATGAGAAAAACCCAAGTCTATATTTCTAGGTCTCAGAATTTCCAGCTTCAATGATCACACTATACTGGACACTAGGAGAATAATGGCAACAGTGTTACAAGTGACTGACCTGAATACGAGCTCCTATAGGTAGGTAGATAGGTGAAATGAATTTGATGGGAATAAAGAAAGTGTTATACAGACCAGTTAAGCCCACCACCTCTCTCTCTCTCTCTCTCTCTCTCTCTCTCTCTCTCTCTCTCTCTCTCTCTCTCTCTCTCTCTCTCTCTCTCTCTCTCTCTCTCTCTCTAATAGACTATAACGTACACCACAAAAATATTATCAATCACACCACTATGCTATCCAACATATCATATTTACTATCCAAAGTGCCATGTGTTCGCGTATAATGTAAGGCATGCAGACGAAATCACACACACACACACACACACACACACAAACATAGGCGCACAGAAACACAAACAAAAGACACACTCGTACGCGTATTGACAAAGACCATTACATATACACATACAGACTCGCACTTATGCAAACACAAACAAATACACAAAAATTACGCACACGCACATAAACACACACACTCACAAAATTACGCTCACGCACATAAACACACATACTCACACACACACAGTTTTACGCTCAGGGGGTTTATAAACCAGAGACCCTATTTCCTCTTTCCCAGAAACCCCACATTTCTCCAAACAAATACGATTTCACTGTCCCAGAGACCCCACCCTTCCCACTCCAAACTACTATAATTTCTCACCTCAAGAAGATTCTGTACCTGATACCCTATCTTCTCTGTCCAGAAGAACCGCCATCCTCTCCAACATCCCACAAAAATGGTTGGCGGCAAAGCCGACTTTATTTCTAAGGTTCAGATAAAATTTCATACCTATTCATCAATTTTGAATGTTTCGGCTGTTGATAGTATAAATATTTTATCAGCACGATGGTAAAGACAGAACTTTACCGCTCACATAACAGCGAGATTCAAACAATTCTTTCATTTCTAGTTTATTAAGAGGATATATTTTGTCGATAGAAAATACTTTTGATCGATCAAGATCAATGGTAAGTTTAGTATATTTTTGTTGACTGTTTGAAGCATGAAAGTTATTAAATCCTCCTGGTAATTCGAGGATTAATTTTTCAATATAATTGAAATACTCGATGCAACCAGATATGATGAATGAAGCGTATCAGGGCTGCTGAAACATATCCCCGATCTGCCATTTTTAATTTCAACTGTCTACTGTTTACCGTCTATCATTAGATATTTGATCCTGCAATTATTTCCATTTGCCACTGTCATATTTTTATACATTATTTTTAAATTTCACACAACATTTCATGCCATAGTCAAAGAATATAATGTCAAGTATACATTTATCGTCAGATGGAAAGATAATATCAATTATAGATCTATCATCGCAACTGTAACCAAGTGCTAACGTATCTATTCCGTTTCGCAATAACGTTTATCATTAAAATTGATTAAGCCACGTTTAACAATAACATCTGTTTGAAGGTAATGATGATTTTTTTTCGATTATCCATTGTTCTAATAAACTAACATCTCTGTCAAGCACGTACTTGTAATCATTAAACTCAAAACATTTTCAAAACAAATTGCTAGGCAAATCCTTTCCTCTTTTGATATTTTATTATCGACCATCAACACAGCATACGTTTTGCTTCGCATTCCACTAAAATATTTGATGATGAGAGATTTAATTTCGTCCTTGACCTTACCTATTATCTTTTAGTCTGTGTCATAAAATCTACTATCGCGAGTATAATCGGAAAGAAAAAAGATGTCGGTTATCAAAGACATATTGATATATTTTCATAAACAAGCAAGTCTGCATCGGAAAACAATAGTTTACTTGACGGCCACTGCTTCTTTACAAAATTATAATGAAAATCGTACATGAGCCACTTCGACTAATCAAGTACATAAGTCCCAACATAAATCGGCTTATTCAGTTTTAGATTTGTGTTTCTTCTTTGCATGGCGACCGACAAGTTTCTCATTAAAAATTTTCAAACTGCCAAAATCGTCGTCTGAGTTTTTTTCGGCGGTCGACATAATAAATCAGCTCAATGTTTACTCGCTTTCTAATTGTTTCCATTATGTTTCCAAAGACGGAGTTGTTCATAAGTATAAAGATGATTTATTTTTCAAAATCAATTTAAGCAAAAGCTCTTCCTTACGTATTTGAGTTAATATAACCTCTTATCCACGGTGACTGATTAAGTTGTAGCACACGATGAACTATCCTCAACACAAGACCAACATCTACTACTTGTTTTAAAACTTTGTAATCCAAACATAATTTTGCTTATCAAGAATATTGGGAAAAACTTCCTTACCATATAGTTTTGTTTTGGTGATTCTATTGCTTGTTGTAACTGAGATAACAAACTATAGTCGATTATCATTGATTCCGCACAGAATGGACAATAGTTGCGTAAATCATGTAATAAAGTAAGATAGTCGAGATCAACGTCAACAAAATACGAAATATTGTCAGGTATCTTGTTTCCTGTCTCCGCCAAGAATTTATCAGAAGTAATCCAACGAGATGCAATTATTATTCTACCACGAACCTCCGGCATTGCCTTGTGAGATATTCAACATACTCGAATTATGTTGTTATATCGCCGACATCACATCCTTCGCCGAGATCAGGATAATATTTACCTGAAAATTTTTATATATAATCGCCTCACAAAATTGCAAAATCCGAGGTAAATCTGATTTTCGTCTTGTTTTATTTGCTAGCTTACGTACTACCTCCTTACCGCGTAGAGATAGTATTTTTTGTTGTAGCTTTTGTTGTAACTCGTTCCGTTTCTTTTTTTGGTGCAATATCTAATGATACTTGTTTATTTTCGCTGATGCATGTATTTCCGGTTGTGGTTTTGCAACACCTTTGCTATCACATCTAATTGTATCAACAATCTTTTGTTCGGCTGCTGTGCCTTCTGCACTACCTGCTCCCGTTGCAAAAGCTTTACCCGTTCAAGTGCAATTGCTGCTACTCTACTAACTCCGTGTAAAACTTTAATAATTTTTGTAAAATTATTCTTGGAAAATTCCGCTACGATTATTCTTTAATAAATTGTTTTGTCTCTTTTTTTTATTCAATACTTGACTTTAAAATTTGATTTACATTACACAGTTCGTAATTGTAAGTAATACTTGATCTGTTAATTGCATTGTCATATTTGTCAATGAGTAATTTGCACCAGTAACCCGACGGAACATCCTGAGAAAAAACGCGAGATTGTTTCACCTTGGCTTCCCAATGCTGACTAAGATCCTTATGCAATATAGCAATTAATTAAAATTGTATTTACTTGTGTTACGTTAACCGGAGCGTCTCCATCATACGATATACTTTGTTCTGTGACATTGCCGTATTGTTGATTTTTAGAGCGCAGCAACGATGCAATACTAGTCGCCAGTGAGAAATCCATTAACAAATTGTTTTTTGTGTGATTGGGGTTAATAGCATATTATAGTTCGGAGTTAACTCAAAACTCTCTGCAATGCCCTCATTTCCTGTTATTAGTTTTTTTATCGATTTATTAGGATCATTTACCCTAAACGCTCCTTTTGGTATTTTAACTGATTTCCACACGCTATTATTAAATTAAATGTTGTCGTTGACGTTTGTTTTCACATTTGCCATAGAATGCATACTGCAGAAGAAATTAATCCAACATCGTACTATCTATCAGGATCAGAGTTATTGGTAGGTAATAGTAGACAGAAAAGCTTTCGTTGACAATCGTTGTTTGTCGAGTAATAATGTTGTTGATCTTAGTCACAGTATATTTATTTTGCTCCATTATTTTACGCGATACCATTGCTATGAGAAAGAAATTGTATTCCTCTGATGTAAATAATCTACTAGATCCAAGATGATCTAATATATCAACTGTCTCGTTGTTGATCTCTGTGCTTTCATTTCCATCCTCTTTTGATGATATCAGCAACATAATCCGGTCAAAGATTTCAGTGTTTGATGTAAAACTTTAACGCCATAGACACGTCTTTCCTCAACTCTATCCTCGTCAATAATTTTTGCTAATGTACTTAATTTATTTATGTGGTTGGTGAAAACCTTCTCTATTACCCAATATATTATCAATAAATTCAAGGTAACAATGCCTTGTCGATAATTGTTAAAC